CTAATGTTACCACACTGACTGCATGTAGTTTTAACCTAGCCTGTATAGTCACTTACAGCTAGAGAGATCTAAGTATGCAGTAACCACTCATAATAAGAATGGAGGAACGTGTCCTGCTGCTACCGGATTTTTTGACGGCATATTATAATGGCTGGCGAATGATAACCTTACCGATCTTTTCTGTGGATGATACCGTTAATAACTGAGTAATGTCATTCTTGTCAGGCGATTATTTACTCGGCTGACCGCATGTTACATTAACGTAACGTTAGCAGCTGAATAGCCAGCCTGAACAGTTAACATAGCAAGCTAGTTAAATACTCTCACCTTTCTTTGAAAAGAATTTTGTAATGTTCCAGACCCCTGCTTTGCTCCTGCTGTCCTCTGTCTATTCTTTTCTGGTGTCCAGATTTGTGTGTGTGTGTGTGTGTGTGTGTGGTTTTTTTTTTGAACATCATATCGCATTAAAGGCGTATTTTCATGACCTCGCCAGCAAAAAACGCACAGACAATTTTTCCAAGACAAGCACGAAGCATGGACCGAACCATTTTTTAAGAAGGGGGTTACTGAAATATATTCCATCAATATTGCATGCCTTAATGGCTTCGTTTAAACTCTGATGCATTAGTATGAATATTAGGTAAATCTATGCAGAATAATTTTGTCATGGCGGCTACTGTGGGTTTTGTGGGCCCTAATGGACTGTGGGCCCTTAGAATTGTCATCACCTTTCCCCCCTATACGACGGCGCTGCGTACACTATAGCAGATTAGGGAAATTATTAAGCAAGGCCAACTAATTGAATTGAAACAAAAAGATTCATCATGCTGCATACTATAAATGAAGCACATTGTTAAGTAACAGTGTCTGTCTGTTACTTCCCCTTGACCAGCCCCAGATGTTTTTGGCCGTTGCAGCGCGTTTGCCCCTGTCGGCCACCGCACAAATAAGGGTCATTCCAATGAAAATCACCAAGTGCTTCCCACCTGACCCCCTCGGAATCGGCTGATTTTTCTAGTATAGTAATTTCAGTATATTTAATGAATTCTAGCCAAATTTTACTTTGATCTTATGAATAAGTTTTGAGTTACAGGCCCTAAAATTTTGCGGGGTTGAAATTTCTTGCGTAATTTTTTTGAGCCCGCATAACTTTATGTGTATTAGAGATTGCTAAATGCAATTTTCAGAGCTGAAAGACATACTGGAGCACTGTTAAAAACTGCAATTATATCAACTGTATGCCCATTCTAGGTGTTACAGTCTTAAGCCAAACTCTGGATTTTCCTCAACGAGATTTGCTCTGTAACCAAATTCAAGCTTCGATATCATGGGAACTATGGAAGTTTCAATAGCAAGACTGCACCAATTTAATAATTATGTTATAGTTTCGTAAAAGCAAGTATTGGAACCATGGATGTATCATGTGTTCTCATGTAATTCACCAGAGAAGATTTGGAAAAGTGCATGCTAGGAAAACTTCAAGGGGTCATATCACCATGTGGGATAGGCTGATGATCAAATCTAGTTGTGGCATATGAAAGATCTCATTTTGATCTAGATTTTGATACCAGGTTAATCTTCTAGCCATGATTCCCTCTGTACCAAATAACATTCAATGTAGCTTCAATGTAGCTCTATGTTGAACGAACTTTGAACCTTTTTCAAATGGCTAATTGAGTGCGTGAAAATGCAGTTTATTTTCAAGTCCTGCTTTTCCAGTGAGGGAATTTTGTGTGCAATTCCCAATCCTCAGAAATCAGTGGAGGTCAGGATCACGAGTGTGTGTTGCTACAGTTACTGGAAACTCTGTCCTGTCCTGTATTGGGCTTGACACAGTTGTGTAAAGATGTGCATTAGCCTGCAATGAAGCAATAGTATGCTGTTTCATCTGAACAACGTTGAAGCGTTGGTAATTAAACAATTTAGTAAATTGGTTATTTGTGCATTGTGAAAGTTTGATGCATGGGATGCATTTAAAATAATTTAATACCCATGCCATGCCTCGAACTTTCAAGGTAGCAAAGTCATTCATGAGGTCTGTACAGTCCAGCTTCTGGAATGGAAATTATCTAATTAAACAAAATCTAGACCGTATTTAAATACCATCTTCAGCAGCATTTACTACAAACCCCAATTCCAATGAAGTTGGGAAGTTGTGTAAAATGTGAATAAAAACAGAATACAATGATTTGCAAATCCATTTTTGACCTAAATTCAATTGAGCACACTACGAAGACAAGATGTTTAATGTTCAAACTGATTAACTTTATGGTTTTTTTGGAAATATTCACTCATTTTGAACTTGATGCCTGCAACATGTTCCAAAAATGCTGGGACTGGGGGCAACAAAAGACTGGGAAAGTTGAGGAATGCTCAAAAAACACCTGTTTGGAATATTCCACAGGTGAACAGGTTAATTGGAAACAGATGAGTGTCATGATTAGGTATGAAAGGAGCATCCCCGAAAGGCAAAGCATTTCACACGCAAGGATGGGGCGTGGTTCACCACTTTGTGAACAACTGAGTGAGCAAATAGTCCAACAGTTTAAGAACAAAGTTTCTCAACGTGCAATTGCAAGGAATTTAGGGATTTCATCATCTACAGTCCATAATATCATCAAAAAATTCAGAGAGTCGAGAGAAATCTCTACACGTAAGTGGCAAGGCCGAAAACCAACATTGAATGCCCGTGACCGTCGGTCCCTCAGGCTGCACTGCATTAAATACAGACATCATTCTGTAAAGGAACACTTCGGAAAACCATTGTCAGTTAACACAGTTTGTCGCTACGTCTACTAGTGCAAGTTAAATCTCTACTATGCAAAGCAAGGCCATATATCAACAACACCCAGAAATGCCACCGGCTTCTCTGGGCCCTGAGCTCATCTGACATGGACTGACGTGATGTGGAAAAGTGTGCTGTGGTTTGACGAGTCCACATTTCAATTGTTTTTGGAAATCATGGACGCCGCGTCCTCTGGGCTAAAAAGGAAAAGGACCATCCAAATTGTTATCAGCGCAAAGCTCAAAAGCCAGCGTCTGTGGTGTTACGAGGATGTGTTAGTACCCATTGCCTGGGTTACTTGCACATCTTGAAGGCACCATTAATGCTGAAAGGTACATACAGGTTTTGGAGCAAAATATGCTGCCATCCAAGCAACATCTTTTTCAGGGAAGTCCCTGCTCATTTCAGCAAGACAATGCCAAGCCACATCCTGCATATGTTACAACAGTGTGGCGTCGTAGTGAAAGAGTTCGGGTAATAGACTGGCCTGCCTGTAGTCCAGACCTGTTTCTCATTGAAAATGTGTGGCGCATTATGAAGCGCAAAATACGACAACGGAGACCCCGGACTGTTGAGCAACTGAAGTCGTACATCAAGCAAGAATGGGAAAGAATTCCTCCTACAAAGCTTCTACAATTAAGTGTCCTCAGATCCCAAACGCTTATTGAGTGTTGTTAAAAGGAAAGGTGATGTAACACAGTGGTAAACATGCCCCTGTCCCAGCTTTTTTTGGAACGTGTTGCAGGCATCAAATTCAAAATGGGTGATTATTTCAAAAGAAAACAGTAAAATTTATCAGTTTGAATGTTAAATATCTTGTCTTTGTAGTGTACTCAATTGAATATTGGTTGAAAAGTTTTTGCAAATCATTGTATTCTGTTTTTATTCACGTTTAACACAACGTCCCAACTTCATTGGAATTGGGGTTTGTACATTACATTCTACTTCAAGATGAAATTTCAGTTAATTATCATCCATGCAATCTCATATTGTAGCCTTTCTCGTGGACGCAAAGCTGTATGTCTTCATCGTTAATGGCAATGCAGCTTATTGGAAGCCAATTTGCTCAGTAAATTACAACCCCAATTCCAAACTAGTTGGGACAAAGTGCAAATTGTGAATAAAATTAAAATGCAATGACTTTCAGATCACCTGAGCCAATATGTTATTTACAATGGAACATAGATAACAGTTCAAATGTTGAAACTGAGAAATTTTACATTTCTATCCACAATATGAGCTTATTTCAAATTTTCTGGCTGCAACAGGTCTCAAAAAAGTTGGGGCACAGGCAAAAAAAGGGCTGAAAAAGCAATTAATATATAAGAGAATCAGCTGAAAGAACATTTAGCAAGTAATTAAGTTAACTGGCATCAGGTGTGTAACATAATTGGCTATAAAAGGGATGTCTTAGTGAGGCTGAGTCTCTCAGAAGTAAAGATGGCCAGAGGCTCTCCAATCTGTGAAGGCTTGCGTAAAAAAAATTGTGGAATACTTTAAAAACAATGTTCCTCAATGTCAAATTGCAAAGACTTTGAAGGTCTCATCATCGACAGTGCATAACATCATCAAAAGATTCAGAGAAACTGGAAAAATCTCTGTGCGTAAGGGACAAGGCTGAAGACCTTTACTGGATGCCCGTGATCTTCTTGGCCCCTCAGACACCACTGCATCACTCACTGGCATGATTCTGTCATTGACATTACTAAATGGGCCCAGGAATACTTCAAGAAAGCACTGTCTGTAAACACAGTCCGCCGTGCCATCCACAGATGCCACCTAAAACTCTATCATGCAAAAAAGAAGCCATTGTTTTTTTTTCTTTTCTTTTTTTAATTTGGCATCTCCAATCCCACCTGAATCTGGAATGTCCAATTGGGAACTATGTACGAGGCTTTTTCGCATATGCGGCCCCCTATTGCCAACTCTGGAGAGTGAGACAGCTCGCGGCTCTCCTCCGAAGCACGCGCCCGTCGCCACCGCTTCTTATACACTCATTGGTTGAAACTTCGCAAGCTCAGAGCGAGGGCGGAGAATACCCGAACATGAACAAACTTGAATCTTCCTAACAAGCGCCCGTCTGTCCAACAAGAGGCGCCAGAGAACTTGTTATTTACAATACCCTATCCTGGCAGACCCTTCCCAGTTTGCATCTCTGTAGTGCATTGGCCAATTGCGCGCTACTCTGAAAAGAGCTCCCGACCATTGCCGGCTGGTACGAGGCGGGAATCGAACCCGCGCCGTGGCAGTCACTTCTGCTTTGCAACGCGATGCTTTACCGAGTGAGCTATCCAGCAGCTTTGAAGCCATTGTTGAGCATGATCCAGAAGTGCCGCCGTGTTCTATGGGCCAAGACTCATTTAAAATGGACTGTAGCAAAGGGGCAAAGTGTCCTGTGGTCAGACGAGTCCAAATTTGACATTCTTATAGGAAATCATCGGCGTCGTGTCCTCCGGGCTAAAGAGGAGAAAGACCACCCCTACTGTTATCAGCGTTCAGTTCAAAAGCCAGCATCTCTGATGGTATGTGGATGCATCAGTGCATATGGTGTGGGACACTTGCATGTTTTAAAAAGCACCATGAATGCTGAAAGGTATATAAAGGTTTTAGAGCAACATGTGCTCCCTTCCAGATGAAATATATTCCAGGGAAGGCCTTGTGTATTTCAGCAGGACAATGCAAAACCACATGCTGCAGCTATTACAACAGCATGGCTTCGTAGTAGAAGAGTCCATGTGTTGAACTGGCCTGCCTGCAGTCCTGATCTTTCACCAATTGAGAACATTTGGCACATAATTAAACGAAAAGTCCGTCAAAGGAGACCCAAAACTCTCCAGCAGCTGGAAGCCTGCATTAAACAAGAGTGGGATCAAATTCCAATGGCTAAACTCAAGAAACTTGTCTCCTCAATGCCCAGACGCCTCCACTCTGTGTTAAAAAGAAGAGGGGATGCTACACCATGGTAAACAGGCCCCTGTCCCAACTTTTTTGAGACCTGTAGCAGCCATCAAATTTGAAATTAGCTCATTTTGTGGATAAAATTGTAAAATGTTTCAGTTTCAACATTTGCTATGTTATCTCTGTTCTATTGTGAATAAAATACTAGCTGGTGTGATTTGAAAGTCATTGCGTTTTGATTTTATTTACAATTTTCACTTTGTCCCAACTATTTCAGAATTGGGGTTGTACAACGTAATTCAATCTATTACCAGATTCTTACTCGGAAATAGGATGAGTGTTAATCAGCATTACGGTAATGTTACTGGTTGTAGACAGTTTTATTTTTACATGAGCAGCCTTAGCACGTGGACCTGAGTTGGCAAAACCACTTTTTTAGAAACTTTTTCTTATACCACTGACACAGTGAATTCATAGCGCTCTCAATGCGACATAAAATGTTACTGCATTATAAAATGTTGGTGTGTCTCGCCCGATATGGAACAAAAGTGTTACAATAGCGCAATAAGAAATTCCTGCCCCTGAGGTAGTCTGATGCCGCTATATTTTCAAAGCGCAACACCTTGTTGCGGAATAGTTCCGGTGTATCGACATGAAAGTGGCTAAAGCGCCACAGACTCGCTTCAGATCATATGACCAACCACGAAATTGTTCGTCCACGTAGTGAGGGATTGGAGAGTTTTCACCGTGATGACATCAAGCGTTCTTCTTAATACCACATTCGTTCTGCTCCCGTGACACAGCAATATTGTGATGACAGTGGCTTTGTTTTGGTATAGTTGGCAATGTGCCATCGGGCTCAAGAATCTTATTGCTTTGTTTTTGCTTTGGTCTATACCGCTTCAGTAGTGTAAGGCCACGCCTCCAGCCTTCCAACTCAACAGTCTATTAAGATCTGGACCGCATTCTTCAGCTCCGCAATCATTGCATGCACCCGATCGGTTGGTAACGCAGAAAAAAAATACCATTTTGTGAGCTGCAGGAATTCGGAAGCTCCATAAGACATTGACATGTTTATATTACGTCTACCGTTAATGTGGATAGGAATATGTTTGCTAACTGTTGCAATTAACAATAATGCAAGCTGAGAGGAAATGGATACAGATTGACCCTCGCAACTGAACAAATTAACACTTAGTTTGTAATTAGGAAACCTAAATGGGAATGGGTTTGGAGCTGTAATTCTCTTCAAGGTGAGATGAGAGCAGTGCCATAGTCTCTTTGATGGCAACTCCAGAATTAAAAGGTTAATATAAAATGTTATAATGAGTGCTGTCCCATTTCCGAGGTGAAGGCTGCAGCTCCTACCCCATGCTGCCTCTGAAGGGCCATTGCCATGTCATGGGTATGCTGACACTAGGTGTAGAGAGTTGGGCCCAAATATTCAGCAAGCCTCTGCAGACACAGATATTTACAAAAGTTTTACTGAGCTCATGTCATGATATCCATTACAGTCGTGTGGCAGTTCTATAGACAGTGTCATCTGAGGGATCAGGGATCACGCACATTCAGAAATAGTTTTTAAGCAGTGCCCTTTATGCACCAAGATTCATCTGAATTCCTCTCAACTTTTAATTTGTGCCCTACAGAATTAATGGCATCCTTTAGTAAAAATAAGCAAAACAAGATGCAAAAAAAAAGCCTTTGTTTATCTTTGTTTGATCTTTCGTTCAAAATATTTATTTAAAAAAAATCTTACCATAAATTGAAGTAATATAATTGAAAGAAGCAGTGATTATTTTTCTTCTCAAAACTATATGTGCCATGATTTTTGGCACCCTTGCATTTAATATTTTGTGCTGCCTCCCTTTGCCAAGATAACAGCTCTAAGTCTTCTCCTATAATGTACAGTGCCTGACAAAAGTCTTGTCACTTATCCAAGTTGTAGGAACAACAAATAATAACCTGACTTGTAGTTGATCAATTGGAATCAAAAATGGCTTATATGAAAGGCAAAGCCCTCTAGATTATGCGAAATATACCAAAATAGAGTTTTGTGTCATTGATTGGGTTTTATAACTTAATTTGTACAGAAAGGTTAGATTTTGCTTGGACAAAAGTCTTGTCGCATTGAAAAAAAATTTGGAAATTATACATACACTTTATTTTGAATACACAAATATGCCACTATAATATCAGAACATAAGGCCATGGTGCCTTGGAAAAAAGAATTAATATTCCGTATGACTCCCATGAGCTTGGAGGACTGCATCCATACGTCTTGGCAATGACTGAGATAACTTGATGATGAAATCATCTGGAATGGCATAGAAAGCAGTCTTGCAGGACTCCCAGAGTTCATCAAGATTCTATGGCTTCATCTTCCAAGCCTCCTCCTTCATCACCTTCATACCCCTGAAATGCTCAATAATGTTCATGTCAGGTGACTGGGTTGGCCAATCCTGGAGTACCTTCACCTTCTTCGCTTTCAGGAACTGTGACATGGAGGCAGAAGAATGAGAAGGAGCAGCAGTATAAGTAGGGCAGCAAGAACTTCTTAATATTTCAGGCTGTTGATGTTGCCATCCACTCTGCAGATCTTTCTCACACCCCCATGCTGGATGTAACAACAAACCATGATTTTTCCTCCACCAAACATGATTGTTTTCTGGGAGAATCTTGGGTCCATGAGGGTTCCAACAGGTCTTGTACAGGCGACTGGGATGCAGTTCAATGGATGATTCACCAGAAAAATAAACTTTCAGCCACTTTTCCAGTATCAATCCTTTCTGCGAGCTGTGGGCCTTGGCAAATGCAATGCAGGTTTTTTGTTTTCTGTTTAATGCAGACTTCTGTGTACTGATTTGGCTATGAAAACCACTTTGAGAGAGAATTGGACAAACTCTTCTTGTAGATACTGGGATTTTTGGTGACATTTCCTCATGTAGCTTCGCTGTAGTTGAAGAAGGGCTAGCCTTGTACAGTTGAAGCAACAAACGGTCCTTTCAAACAGTTGTCATACCGGGGTCTGTCTGACCTGTGCTTGCCATGAACGTCACCAGTTTCTTCAAATCTTTTTCTCATCCCCTCCACTTGACATTTGGATACATTAAAGATGTCTGCCACCTCAGCAGCAGACTCAGTCTTCAGGCTCTTGATGATCAGCACTTTGGTCTGTGGTTGAATCTTTGGTATGTTGTCAGAGGTCTAGTCGCACCTCATATGAAAGTCTGGTGTGCTGGGGTTATTTCTATACACATCTGGGAATGTGTTAATTACAGTATTTGTCATAGGTTAAACTCTAATCTGCGATTTGTTGCATCATCTGAAGAGACGACAAGACTTTTGTCCTAGCAAAAACAGATGTTATGGGCTTAGCCAAGCTGTGAACATCAGAACACTTTTTGACGGTTTCATTTTGCACCAAATTATTAATGTGAAAGCCCTTGACATTAAAATGGACCATTTATTGTAACAATTGATTGGTTAATAATAAAGTTATATACTATTTTTAGTTACTATGTCCTTATGCGACAAGACTTTTGTCAGGCACTGTACATCGTTTGATAAGGTTGGTGATCACATGATCTGAGACCATACCTTTGTGCAGAATTTCCTCAGATATTTCAGATTCTGAAGTCAAGGGGACTTATGGACTCTCCCCTTCATTCCACAAATTGTCTATGTGGTTTAAGTTGGGGGACTGTGATGGCCTTGGGAATACCTTTATTCTGTGGAAGGAGAAACATTTTTGTGTAGATTTTGAGGCGAGTTTCCAGTCATTGTTCTGCTGGAAGGTCCAACTATGGCCCATTTTAAGCTTCCTAGCAGAAGCTGTCAGATTTTCATTCAACATCTGCTGGTATTTTATAAAGTCCATCGCACCATGTGTCCTGACAAGACGTCCAGGGACAAAAGCAGCCCTGCAACATCAAAGATCCACCACCACACTTCACAGTGGGAATGAGGTTCTTTTCCATATGGCTATCATTCTATCAACACCTCAACCACCTTTGATGTTTTTGTCAAAAAAAAAAAAAAAAAAAAGATTTTGGTCCACCATACAACCCAAATAACAGTCAAAGTAATGACTGGCTAACTGTAGGCAGCTTTAATTTGTTGTTGATGGAGTGCCGAGGCTTTTTTACAGGAACCCCTCAAACAACTTGCAGTTTTGCTGGTGCTGTCTGATGGTAGTTTTGGATACTTTCTAATTCCAAGACTCAACTAACCTCTGCAGTTCTCTGGCTGTCATCCTTGAAGATTGTTTTGCAGTCAAACGATCCTTTTCACGGTGTGTGGGGTCATTGTGCACACACATCTTCTTCATGGCTGATTTCTCACATCTCATGTCACTTTAAACTTTTTAAAGAAGTATTTTACAGTTGGAAAGAATGGT